TGGAGTTTTGCTCTTGTTGCCCAGGCTGGAGTGCAGTCACGCGATCTCAGCTCACTGCAACCTCCACCTCCCGGCTTCAAGTGATTGTACTGCCTCTGCAGTGGTAAATGCCAAGTATCTGATAGAATGGTCAACAAAATGTTAAGAGCAGTACTTCCAGGTGGTCAGATTTCAAAGGAATCAATAGTTGTTGAATCTTAAAATATTGTCTAAATTCTCTAGGAAAGCTTGAATTGCATTTATAAACAGGAACATACCTCAACATGAACTATAACATAGGTTCCTATAGTACTTCAGTAATGCTCTTGCCCCTATGTCCCTTTATATCAAGCTAGTCAGAGAATGTAGCTAGCTAGAGCAGGTATGTAGGGTTGAGTAAGGTTCTAACACTGCAGGGTAAGCAAAGGTCCCTGCTCTGAATGAGTAGGTGAGGGGATAAAGTATTATTCAAACTATTCAATAAACTTTAAACATGCCTCCTTATGTCTTCACGGTTCTAGGCACTGAGGACACACAGACAGTAAGTGGTAGGTTTTCCTAGAAAAGTTGGTCAAGTTTAAAACTCACCTGGCCTTGAAGAGCCAAATTTGTGTAGGTGGAATAAGCAGCATGAGCAGGATATGGAAAGTAATGTGTAGGTGGAAAATAGGTAATGGTTTTTGCAAAATCATCATGTGTGCCTACAGATGTGAATAACTGGAAAGGTAGAAGCAACTCCTCTTTTCCAGCCAGGAAAACCCTTCCCTGCTGACTTTGTGTAGCTCAGCTTTGTTTCCATGTCCTCTCCACGTTCAGCTGTCTAGAACCTTGTCTTTTAAAATTAGATGGGCCAGAGATGTACTTGATGTTTCAGCAGCAGCCAAAATCAGGAAAATGAACTAGGAGGTATTGTGCCATAGCTAACCCAGAGTTAGAACCTAAGCAACACCATCTTAAACCCTGTACGTTGCAAGCACCAAGAAAACCGGTTTTTTCCAAAAATAACTTGTAACTTCTGCCCCGTTTCCTTTGTGATAACTCTTTGCTGCCCTGTTTTCCTTGCAGTAACTGCTGACCTTGGCTTCTGTAAATAAAAACAGCTAGCTTGCTGTAAAGTTGCTTGTCCTGCATCCCCTCACCCTCTTGGTCCTAAAACTAGGATGTGGTTTTTCAGTTTAAAAACCCTGCTCTCCATGAGCTCGGGGCCATGGGTTGGAGAGACGTGAGTCCTCTGTGGCCGCCGGCAGTAAAGACCCTGCAATTTGGCATACTTTTGTCTTGGTGTTAATTTTTTATACTCAATCTGGTATAACATTTTGGAGGCCCCAGCGAGATTTTATTTATATTCCTCCATCACCTGGACAAAAGCCCTTAGAACCTCGTCCGGGCAGCCCCTTCCACCTGGGGGATCTCTGGGGGAGGTGCCCCTGATGATGTTCCAGGGCCCCAGAATTCCGGCCCCATGATGGACAAGCAACCACTTGGCCGACATTCACCCCAGATTCCTTCAGGGTCCTGGAAACTTCCGGAGGTAAGTCTGTTCTGGATCTGAAATCTGGGGACCCATCCCTATGTATCTGTAGCCTGAGTCAGGGGACCGGACACAGTTGTTACAACTCTGACCAGGCAAGACTCCCCGAGACGTCGCCCGAGGCTCTGGCATTTCTGTCACCTCTGATTGTGCGGAGGCTCTGGTATTAGTTTTCAGTTGTTTTCCATAACCTCTGTGTAAATGAGAGAATGAATGTGTGTATATGTAGTCCCACGGCCAGTAAGCTACGGGGCTTGTGAGAGCCTTCACCCACGGTTCCATGGGAATGTCATAAGGCATAACGGTGATTCATCTCAGAACTAAAAATTCTGAGGTGACCAGGCCCGGGGTTTATATGGGTACACCTTAGCCAAGATGTCCTGAAATATCCCTCTGGGGGCGTGGCCGGGCAGGCATCAGACTGGTCTCCCATCTGGGGGGCACCCAATCTTTGTCTGTCAATCCTATATGTGGTTCTGTCTTTACTGTAGATTCACCAGTTTTGTTAGACTCCTGTTGACTGATACACAGTGGTTTAGACCTGTTACTCTTGAGGTGGATAATGTTCTCCATTGGCTAAGTGACCATTGACTTCAAGGAACTCTGATTAAGTTTACACTCCTGGAAATAACTCTGCTCTCTTTCCTTTTCTTCTTCTTATTCTATCTTTGAGGCCTCATTCTTCCTCTTTTTTCATGTCCGAGAAAAAATTCTGCCCCCAAAGACTTGGGTATAGTTTTTTTCTGTTTTAGGGAATTAAACCTTAAATAAGAAACTACCAGCCCTCTTCG